GGGACATATATATCTATGATTTGGTCTATATGAATACCTGAGACCTGTTTTGCTGAATACAGCTTTTATCAGCCCTAGTGGTATTATAACTAAGATCTGAGTGTGGAAACATGGACTGTATATGGATTTCAGTGCTCACCTCTCTCCCCATCCTCTCCAGCTATGGAATATCCCTCAACCTCCTCATACGGTGTCTAATGCAGGTCAATGGAACCTGAATAAGACATGATGACATCAGCCGTCCTTAGACTGCTGGAGTGAGGTGGCTTTGGGAACTGGTCTAGCAGCCCAAAAGCAGCTGGGGGGACTGAGGATCAGGTACTTTATTTGACCCCTAGGACAAAACTAGCACTTAACCCTTGCAGGGTGGGGGTAGCCCCACTGCAAGGGTAAGTTTTTTTTGTTTTTCCAGAGTTCTCCTTTAACTACTTTGCAGCAATTTGCATTACAATTTTGGATGGAGATTGAAACATTTTAGAGTATCTACATTATATTCTATAAAGTGAATATGTACATTACTTGCAATATCGGCATATCAAAGATATTTTGGAATATGTACAGTACTGTATATAAAAAGAGCAACCTGTATAACTGTCCTATTCACAAAGAGGATCTTTACCCTCATCTTAAAAATGACAACAAAGACACATTTAGAGATGTTAGTAATGGAATCTACAAACAGAGATGTATAGATAATAGCTGGCTTTTTATTCTTTGTATACATTATTTTTCTGTCCCTGCCCATTTTTCTCACAGTGGCCATTTTCATTAAGGGCAGATGACTCCATCCCCCTCCTTTACTTCCTGCAACTCTCAGCCTGCCTCCTGGAACATGTGAAATTATACATCATCTAAGGGAGAAAAAATGTCTTTCCCTGATATTTTGCAAGATTTTGCAGTTTACACATGAGATTTCCTAGGAAGACACTGGTGATGTAGCCATCCAAGGATATATCTGCGAGGCCAGGGCTACATCACCAGGGCTACATCACCACGGCTACATCACCAGTGCCTCACTCAACCAGAAAGCAGAAAAACAGTAATTGTAAGTAAAACCATAATATGTTTAACTAAAGAATGTAAGATGATTTCATATCAGGATGCAGAGTTGCACTCTGATGTTATTTTTAGTGAAAGGGGTTAATCTTCTGCTTTTAGTGGGTTTGTCATATGGAAATTAGTTAAACCATAAGAATAACATGGCTACTGAAACTTCATAGAAGCTTCATCATATTCTGGGATAATGCAATATGACAGTTTTATGTTTTATTTTATTGTAAATATTGATACATCTGAGGATAGCTGTTCAGACCATTTTATCATCACTTTCCTATCATCAGAGAGGGGTTCCCTTAGCTTAAATTATTTTGATGACCTATTATTGTTAATATTGTAAAGGATGTCCATTAGTACTGATCCTTTAAATGTACCACCTTTCACAATCTTGGATATACACCGATCAGCCATAATATTATGGCCACCCGCCTAATACTGAGTAGGTCGCCCTGACCTGTCGAGGCATGGATCCAACTACATCTCTAAAGGTATGATTTGGTATCTGGCACCAACCGTCAGTAACAGATCCCTTACGTCCTGTAAGTTGTGAGGTAGGCCAGCCTTCGCCCCCCTGTTGACTTGTGATTTCATTCCGATTTTGGTTTGAATGCACCCTAGTGTGAACAAGACGTTTTTATTAAACTTTATAACAAATACTTCAAAACAAATGTTTTGAACCTGTGTGTGCCCTTAATGATTATATATTGTGTATTTAAGGTCTCTTCCCCACCCCCAGTGCAGTGTCAGCAGCAGGGATGCACCGATACCTTTTTTTTAAAGACCGAGTATGAGTACCGATACGTTTCCACAAGTACTCACTGATACCAGTTACCGATACTTTTTTGTGTGTCATGTGACAGGTTTTTTTTCCAAATAATACAGACTAATGATTTTAGGACAGTGGTGGAATGCCACGGTCCGGACTGCAAAGCGGCGGCCCTGGTAGTTCTGCCACTGACTCCAACTGACTACAAATCCCAGCAATACTTTATACAACAATGTAGAATAATATCAAGCTACATATTCTGTTTTGCTCACCAGGGCTGCGCGTGGTGTCTCACCAGGGATGGGTGCAAGATCCCACCAGGGCTGCATGCAAGGCCTCACCATGGCTGCGTGCGGCGTCTCGATAGGGCTGCGCGCAGGGTCTCACCGGGGCTGTGTGCAGCGTCTCACCAGGGCTGCGTGCTGGGTCTCACCAGGGCTGCATGCGCCAGGGTCTCACCCGGGCTGTGCGGGCACATGCAGGGTCTCACCAGGGTTGCGCGGGCAGGTGCGGGACATCCCAGTGCTGTGCCTGCAGTGCTGGTCCCCAGCAAGCGCAGGACCTTACGGCAGTTTAGAAATGTAATGCACCGTTATCGGTGCTTAGTACAGGTACTTGTAAAAAAGGCCCAGTATCGGAACCGATACCATAACTGGTATCAGTATCGGTGCATCCCTAATCAGCAGGCATGGTTTTTCTACTTTTAATTGAGGAATTTTATTTTAATGTGGTCTCAGTATGGAGTACCTACCTATACTATTATTTGATGTTTATATTTGTTGAGGCAGACATCTCAACTCTCCCAGACATTCCGGGAGTCTCCCGCTATAAAACAGCGGCTTCCTGATGCCCGGGAGAGAAACATTTTATCCTGGACAGGTTTACTCCCTTCTGTCTGTTTTTTTTTTTTTAATTCTGACATCGGAGCCATGGCCACGGTCAGAGTAAAAAAGACAGCACTGAAATGAATAGCTAGATTGCTATTGGCTATTTCAATTTGCTATAGCCAATAGCAGGCTGGCTATTGCACCCACCCTCTGCTGTTATCAATCAGCAGAGGTGGACCTGCAGTTCTCCATCAGGTCCTCCTCTGCTGATTGACAGCAGCAGTAGGCGGGAGCAATAGCCAGCCTGCTTATGCACATTGAAATAGCCAATAGCAATCTAGCTATTCATTTCTATACTGTCTGTTGTTTTTTTTTTTTACTCTGATAGCAGGAACTGTCAGAATACAGAAAAAAAACAAAACAGCAGATAGCAAGGGAAGCATTAGCTTCTCTGCTATCTGCCATAATTTCACAGAGGTGCATTTTAGCAGAATACTTTAGCAAATACTGTACAATCAATCAACTTTTGACTAACTAGCAGGTTAGAAAATTTCTGTTGATCGTACAATTTTCGCAGGGTTGGTGGCGTTTCTGTACGTCAAAATTCATACGATTTACACTGCACATGCGCAGGCGAAAATACGTGCGGTCGATCCAACCTTGCGATAATCGGGGCATGATGGGGCCGACGTACCAAAATTGTACAACGGTTCGATCATTGGACGAAAAGTGTCGTCTGATGATCGCAAGGTGTATGGGCAGCCTAAGACAGGAAGTGTGTTACTGGCCGGATCACCAGGAAGAAAATAAAGAAAATGCAGATACCACTATTAAGTATTGGTTAGATGCAATATATTCCATTTTTGTTTTTGGGTTTTCATACACTTCTGGGTGTGTTTTACACTTCTAGATCTGTGCAGTAATCCAGTGTGAAACTTTCTCTCTATACAGGAGTTTCCTGTAATAAAGACCAGTCACTGCTGATCTCACTCCTTGTGCAGGGTGACTGGTCTTGTTTCCACCCCCTCCTGTAGTTTTCTACAGGCAGCCTGTAGTGGGTGGGGCCTGCTGGATCCCTCCCACAGATCTAAGGCGTGTTCAGTTCCTTAGCCAATCGCTAAGTAGCTGTTCTGCAGCACTTCTGCTTCACTGAACGCTTCGGCTGCATAGTGCTACGCAAAATGGTGGAGAATTATAATTTTGACTAATAAATACAATTTTTCAACGAATATTTGGTGTACTCGTCCACCAAAACATTAAATTGTAGGTTCCCACACTGAACTGCTTTCCCCATTAAGGTTCAGGCACCTTTCTCCAGCATTGCCAGGTGTGCCCACAGTTAATATGGCCATTGGTGCTCTGTCCCCACCTTCTCCATTACACTCAGCACTCTGCATCCACATTCACTTCTGCTGCGAGTGCTAAGTTAGCAGTGTTGAGCGCTGACTTGCAGCACAGCGTTCAGCAGCGGTTTGCTAACTCAGCACCTTCAGTGGCTGAGCACTGAACACGCCTCAGCTCTCTGCACAGGCTGTGTACAGCACAGTGATGTCACCACCACATTTACTTGGTTTACAAAGGCATTTGTTGACCACAAAGTGGATTTGAATCCTTGTGGCTTTTATGGAAAATATTTAGATAAACATCTCTATACTTAGAGTTCAGCTTTAAACGCAGAATGTTGACCTGGGAGGTATTGCGTTTGTTTTTGATTGATTAGAGATTTTTCTTTCTGCTGAGGACAGCAAAAAAGGCCTCATTCACACTGGCAGTGTCAGTGCTTTTTGGTCTTATAGATTTCAATGGGAAACTTCATGCGATAAAACGCACAAAAACGATTGAAACACGCATTTCCCATTAAACTCTATGGGGCAAAAAAGTGGTGGGTTCTGCCAAAAAGTAGCTCATGTAATTTTTCCAGCGACAGATATTTTTCTGCTTGCGACACAAAGCTCAGGTGTGACCAGGGGCCAGAGGAATATCACAAGTTACAGTTCTATTGACTATGGTGCCACAGACAGTGTTTTGGGCAAGGGGAAGCAGATCTAGATGAGGAGAGAAGTTTTTCAGGTGCTAAAACGCATGTGTCACGCATTTACTGGCGATCACATTGCGCCTAATTGGCTAAAAAACATATTTAAAAATGGCCAAAAATATGCTACAGATCTCTACAAAGGAGTTGAGAAGTGACCTGGAAGCAGAACTTTTGTTTAAACCTCCTATGTCATTTCTCCTTAGTTGGATGTTCAATTGTGAATAAGACCCTGCACAGCCGCATAAGGAACTTGTAGTGGCCTCAGCTTCCACCACCTGTCCTGCGCTCTCCGCCCAGCAGGGGGCGCTCAACCTCCGGCTCATACTGAGGCCTTCATAGCCTCGGCTGGAGCAGGATGTCGGAAGCAGCTGACATCGCATCTCCCGAGGACTCATGGAGCAAAGTAAGTAGGGCGACCTAGGACAGGCCGGGGATTATCAGAATTACCAGGCCGGGGGAGAGGAGCGGAGCACAGGACACACAGGGTGCGGAGACGGGGTGTATTCTCATTATGGGTGCCTCTTCCTGATAAATGGAGACCTTACAGCCTATGTGTCAGACATAGTGTATCCTCTGTTATCTGTTGCCATATAGTACTGACCCAAAAGTCACTCATATCCTTGTCCTTAAATGTCTACGGATCACTTTGTTCAATTATGGGTATTCTTTGATAGAGTAGGTTTTGATGTTGTTGTCGTCTGGGTTCATATAAACAAGTAAGCTAACTCTCAGGCTCTTAGGCCAGAAAAAAAGAAACCCCATTTACAGGCACCCATGTCTTTGATGCCAGGATGATGCTGGTGACTATAAGGCCTCATTCACATTGCCGTACAATATGCTGCGTATGTGCGTGTAATCGCGTATTGTCTGATATGCAGCATATGCAAATAAATGGCTCCATACACATAGCTGCTTATGGAGCCGTATATTTGCGCTGCGTAAAAACAGAATGGACCTGAGATGCGTCCGGGCAATGTATTTCTGTGTATTTTACGTCGGTATGTGCGTACAGTTCATTAACCACCTCCGGGCCGGCCGTAGTAAAAAAACGGCCGGCCCGAGCTCTCTAGATCTGAGCGGGCGTCTTTAGACGTCCGCTCAGACACGCCCCCCCGCGCGCGCCGCTCGAACACCTGGTCTTGAAGTGGTTAAAATTTCTAATACTAATGATGCATTCTGGAATTGCGTATACATATGCGCATATACGCAATATACAAATTTTGCTCTTGCGTTGTGTGTATGAGGCCTTAAGAGTAAAACCAACCAGACAGACATCTTCAGTTGTCAGACCAGTAGTGATGTTTTTTTCTAATTTACCGCAAATGCTTTGCTGGATTATTATTATTGTTATTTTTTAGGTTTATATAGTGCCAAGTGGTGATGTGCAGGGGCTTCATGTGAGCCAAGCTCACCCAAGTCTGCACAAAACTGTCACTGACACCCCAGTTGTATCTGGGCCATTCTCCGACCCTTTATTACCTGTACTGGTGGGATGGGGAAAGCCCCAGGGGCAACTGATTGGGCCTTGGAGGGGGGGAGGAGCAGCTGTCAGGAAGCGTTTTGTACAGGCTTAGGTGAACTTTGTTTACACCAAGCCCCTACACATCACAATATGGTCCAACAGTTTGCCCTAGATAAACCCCGGACAGTTACAATACAATACAATTCAAGACAAGAAGCTTACAATCTAACAGGGAGGAGCAAGTGATACAAAAGGTAGTAACTGTATCAGGATGAGTTTGAGAAAGTAACATTTCAGTTGTTCGGTAGAGGTGGAATAGGCTCCCCCCTGAAGAGATGAGCTTTTAGGGATCACCTAAAGTTAAACAGAGTTAGATATAGTGGACAGATTGGGGTAGAAAGTTCCAGAGGATGGGAGAGACTCTAGAGAAGTCCTGGAGGTAAGCGTGGGAGGAGGTGACAATGGGGCTTGGGAAGAGTAAGGAGAACAGTTTGGGTGATATAGACAAAATAAAGTGACTGTTATATATATATATATATTATAAGACTGCGACCCACTGATATTCACCTTCTCCACACTCCCGAAGCGTTGCGTTCCTAGCCTAGTCCTGTCCTTGTGTAAGCTCCATTTCACATGCCAGAGCTTACACGCGGTCCGGGATTTCCATCTCTTCCATGACATTGTTGGTGGTGTACAATAAAACACAATAGACCGCAGCGCTGTATCCAGGGGGAAGGGAGGGGAGGAAGTTGCATGTAATTCTCACAGGCTCCAACAAAATGGTGGGGAGGAATGGCAAAGGGAACAGATAAAACGGGTGGGCTCTCTTCTGCCGCAGGGACAATGTTTATTTTTTCATTAACTAACTTGCTTTTTTTCTTTTAGTCTAACCCACTGATATTCACCTTCTCCACACTCCCGAAGCGTTGCGTTCCTAGCCTAGTCCTGTCCTTGTGTAAGCTCCATTTCACATGCCAGAGCTTACACGCGGTCCGGGATTTCCATCTCTTCCATGACATTGTTGGTGGTGTACAATAAAACACAATAGACCGCAGCGCTGTATCCAGGGGGAAGGGAGGGGAGGAAGTTGCATGTAATTCTCACAGGCTCCAACAAAATGGTGGGGAGGAATGGCAAAGGGAACAGATAAAACGGGTGGGCTCTCTTCTGCCGCAGGGACAATGTTTATTTTTTCATTAACTAACTTGCTTTTTTTCTTTTAGTCTGACACTTCTTTCAGTGATAATGTGGACACAGGTAAGAGTTTATGCATCTTTGAGAAGCTTTTCTTTTTTTCTTTCTATTTTTGCAGCAGTAGCGTGTTTATTGATGTAGGAAAACATTTTGTATGTTTTAATAAAGAAAACCTTGTATTATTTTCCTGCACGTGTTCTCTCTAGCTTGTCATAATCTGGACAAAAAACTCAGCATCAATGAGGCCCCCGGAACCTAAAGGGGCTAATTATATTTGTGTGGTAGATTCATGCATGCACAATACCTCCTGTTTAGTTGTGTTTACCATGCATTGTAATAAGGCTGCCCATTGAAATCAATCTGCTTCCCAAGCCGATTGATTTCACAAAATGTTTGCTGCAATGCTTTATGGCGGATTGTTGTGTGTAGCAAATAATAAAAATCTTAACTTTCCAGTTGTTTCTTCACTGCCGGCCTTATGGGCAGACTGAAGGCTATTCTGAATAATTTTAAATGTGTGTGGGGGTGGAGGAGTTAGTTGCATCAAACTCGGTGTCCCCTGCACATACACAAGCCCTGAGATCTATAACCCTTTGTTAGGCCACATAGTGTTCAAATCTAGTTTACAACTGATAGTGAGATCTGTCAGCACAGTACAGATGGGGTTAAATATTGCAAACATTATTTCCCCAGCTCCCACCTTAACAAGCAGCAATTTTAATATGTATATTTTAAGCTGTGCAATGCGATTGGGAACATGTAGCGAATATAAGGTGTTCTTCCAAAATGGCTGTAAAAGTGGAAATACATTTTAAGGCTAATTACATTTTCTGCTAATACAGAAAAATACCCGTTGATCTTGCCAGAAACCGTGTCCTTTTAACTTCCTGTGGACTGAACTGAAATCTTAAAGCAGGTTATTAGAATTTTTTTTTCAGCTATCTTCTGTGAATGCAAAGCATTGCCCCTCTATGTAATGGAGGTGAGGAAAGGGGGAGGTGTCTGTAGTCCATATCAAGAGAGCATCCTGAGGGGACAATGCTGCTCCTCTATAGATACAGATCAGCGTTTGAGCGTTGTCACCCAGGGAGAGCAAGTGTGATGTTAAGGTGACATTAAACTCAGGATTCAAGTAACTTTAACTATTAACAACACTGGACCTTATTTGTGTATCACTCAGCTGTAGATCCTCAAATAATTTTTGAATTGGTAGTGACACTGTCCTTCCTTCTGGAGGGTGGCTACTTTTATTCCCCATGGTCCCTGTGTGTGTTGTAAAGTAGTCACCGCTCCAAGTTCACTCCTGTGATGGACTACAATCTCTTGTGTAGTTTACTTATTTGTACTGAGATTGTAGTCACAGGAGTGAGCTTGGAGCAGTGGTTACTTTACAACACACACAGGGACCATGGAGAACAAATGTAGCCACCCTCCATAGAAGACTACAAATCCTGGCAATACATTATACAGCAATTCAGAAAGGCATCGGCTATAGAGGGCTACAAATCTCAGCAATGCAGAATACCACCAGCGATAGAGGACTACAAATCCAAGCAATACATTATACAGCAAAGCAGAATAATATGAAGCTACATGCTCTGTTGGTGACCAGGGTTGTGCGGCGTCTCAGGAGGCTGTGCAGCGTCTGACCAGGGCTGCAAGCGGCATTTGGGTCTTACTAGGGCTGAGTGCAGGGTCTCAACAGGCCTGTCTGTGGGTTTAACCAGGCCTGGGCGGGTGTGGATCTCACCATGACTGCATGCGGGAAGTAGGAGGAGAAGATAAGTGACCGCAAGTCCCCAGCAAGCTGCCCTGAGATCCCCAGCAAGCGCATGAGCTCACGGCAGCCGCTCCTGTTTAAAAAATTTTAAGTGCCAGTATTGGCGCTTAGTATCGGGGCATTTTCACGTGTGCGAGTTTTTGTGGAAATTCCTAGTACCGGCACTGATACCGATACTGGTATCTGTATCGGTGCATCCCTAATTTTTAAGATTTAACTTCTTTAGTTTAGTGTCATTTTAACAGGATCATCAGGTGAAAAAGCCAGACAGGCACCTAGCATGAGAGGCAGTGGATTTGATTTTGGGAGCTTTCCCCTTGCAATAACATTTGCTAATAATATTGACTTCAATAGCTCTTTGTGAAAGCGTGTTTTCTATTTTTGTAGGACAAAAATTAATCTTGTTGCGATGCAAAACCTGATTATGTTTCATTATTCTAGGACATATCATGGAACGAAAAGGGAGCATAGTGTCCAGAGCAAACAGCATTGGCTCCACCAGTGCCTCTTCTGTTCCCAATACAGGTACATTACCATCTCACTTGTTCCTAGTTGATGTACCATGATGTACAACAAAATCATGAATATATTTTTTCTTATAGCACATTAATACACTTTTCTGATTAGCAGCACACTTATACCTGTTCATTAAAGAAGAACTCTAGGCATGGGAAAAGTTAACCCTTGCGGTGGGGCTACCCCCGCACTTCAAGGGATAAGTGCTTCTTTTGATCTAAGGTGTAAAATAAAAAAATATATACTCACCTGGTCCTCAGTCCTGCCTGGCTGCTAGACTGGTCCCTGCAGCCTCTCTCCCCCCCGGGTCCTGTGGTCTAAGGTCCCGTGAGTCATCACGTCTTAATACAGTGTATAAAAACGTGATAGGACAGCCCACCGCCAGAGCGGGCGGGGGGCCTGCAGGGACCAAGGAACAGCTTCCTTTTTTGTTTTTCCATTTTCATACTGCTGTCTACCAGTCTACCATAGGCTCCTTCCGTATTACTTCCTCATTTGTGTGGTTTGCTGCTTCTTTGAACTTAAAGAAGTCTCACACGACATTTTACATTTTTATTTTATCTGCATATAGCCTTTGGTCCTGCTTAGGTCCATGGCCCCATTTAAATGAACAGTTAAAGAGGTGCTTTTATTTTACCAAGTACTATTATGAATGAACAATCAGCGCTACAAGGTTGTGTGATAGGGCTGCTGGCTGCTAGTAAACATGCAGGGCAGCTGCAGCTCTATCAGACAACCCAGACTGTGCTGATTAATAAGAGATCTATCAGACCTGCAGGCTATGATCGATAGATGCTGGGGGTGTGCATTTACAAGCATCCCCAGCGGATCGATCACATGGTCCTGCAATGCTAAGTGATCTTTTATTAATGAACAATCGTCACTGTCTGGGTCAGTGCAGTGTGTGATACAGCCAAAAAGTGCTGAGCATTTCACTCATAAAAGCTTACTCGGCTCTGCAGGGCTATGTGATTATCTGCCAAGGCTGCTTGTAAACGCAGCCCCAGCAGATGGATCACCTTTCAGTGCTGAGTGAGCTTTTATGAATGCACAATCAGCGCTGACGAGTTTATACCATAGTGCTGTTGGGGCCAATACAGTGTGTAATACAGGCAAAAAGTGCTTATTGATCATTCATAAAAGATGACTTAGCACTGCAGGGCTGTGATCCATCTGCTGGGGTTGTGTTTACAAGCAGCCCTGGGAGATAATTACATAGCCCTGCAGAGCTGAGTGAATTAATTCTCAGCTCTGTTGGGGTTTGTCACACACTATACTGACCCTGACAGCGCTGATTGTTCATTCATAAAAGATCACTTAGATCACATAGTCCTGCAGTGCTATCTGCCTGTGCTTCTTGTACACGCACAGCCCCGGCAGATGGATCATAGCCTGCAGTGCTGATACAGTATTTCTTTTATGGCAGCACTTGTCTCCAGAGTGGCTCCTGTTGCTACAGACTAGCGCTGTCATTCACAACTCCGTCTCCTTGCTAGCAGTGTGGTCGGACAGAGGTACTTAAAATGTCCAACCACACTACTTGACAGTGGCAGAATGTTTTAGGACAGGACCAGTTGCTATATGAACTTGGTGCCCTAGCAGATGGAATACAAATTATTATTATTATTATTATTATTATTTTTTTTAATGTGAGACTTCTTCTTTAAATTGGTTGTTAACCCCCTTCCCACACATTGAAAGCATCTCTAAAATCATTTTTTTAACCTATTTATGCCTTTTTTATTTTTTATGTAAATTTTCCTTTGGAGAAATGACCTGTATTTCCTGCCAGCTACTCTTACTTCCTTGTTCTTGATCTGCACACTCATTCAGCCTCTGTGGCATCATCATCTACAGTGCATATGCTCCTAGTCTTGTAACACCCAAGCCTACTTAGAGCTTACTGTGGGCTTGATCCCTCCAGCCACTGGCAGAAATGTCAGCTGTGTGGATCAGATGCATTGACTGACAGCTCCTCTCCACCCTGGTTGGGAAGGAGGCCAAGTCCTGCTAATATCACTGCAGCTTTGTAACATCCACTCTGTAACAGCCATGTACAGAGAGGAGGAAAAATGTGGTCATGTCATCAGGAATTAAAAACACTTCTGACAGTATTTTTTCTTTCAATGAGTTTTTATTTATTCAAGAAACATTAATACAAGGCATTGTTAAGTATAGGACACATTATACAGTTACCATATCGGTAGCATCTACGCATCCTATGCATTAAGATAACACACATTTAGGAGATCGGACTAAACAATTCCAGCGACATTGTTGTTGAAGTGCCCTCTCCTAATAAGGTCCAAATACGTCTGATTTTTCAAACTCTTTGACCCTATTAAACTTTTAGAAACTGATGTGAGCTGTCATTACACAATTTTGTGTTTGGTTTCTTCTGTAACAACAGCAATTATATACAGGTGAAACTCGAATCATTAGAATATCGTGCAAAGTTCATTTATTTCACTAATAGACATTGGTATCCATATATGTGTCCGCTCAATCCTCCGTAGCCCGCTGCATAATGGACAATACTTGTTCCCCATCATCAGATGACGAGGACAGTGATTATCGCCAGGAAAGCATCAAGGATGCCTACAAAGACAGACGGAGGAGGGCACATACACAGGCTGAGCAGAAAAGAAGGGATGCTATTAAAGTAAGTCAATACATTTTCTATAGTAATGTACAGTATGTACTAATATATTATTGACTGGAAATGACGGTGACTTGGTTTGTAGATGGCTTAAAAATTAGGCAAGATATGGAACATTTGAGATGTTACTTTACTCCATTACTAGTTTAACTACCTCCTGGCCAGCCGCTGTGTATACACGGCCTGCCGGGAGCTTCTTGGATGTAACTGGGCGTGCGGCGCGCGCGAGCGGGAAATCCCCGCTATTTGAAAAGAGGCAGCGATGCCTGTTAATATACAAGCGATCCGCCGGCTATATAGCCGGCGGATCGCTTGTAT